AAAAAATAGCTGGGCATTGTGGTAGGCGCCTGTAGTCCCAGCTACTTGGGAGACTGAGGCAAGAGAATCGCTTAAGCCCAAGAGTTGGAGGTTGCTGTGAACTGTGGTGCCACAGCACTCTACCTAGGGTGACATAGTGAGACTATCTCAAAAACAAAAGACAATGTTGAAGTCAGAAACCCATGGGTCCCCAGCCCCTTTCAGTGCTGCTGACTAGATGGGGAGGTGGGCAGCTTAACTGGGCCCAGTGTCCAGTCTGTCCACCTCAGGCACATCTGGCTACTCTCCTTCCCTAGAGGGCCCAGTACCAGGACAAGCTGGCCCGGCAGCGATATGAGGACCAGCTTAAGCAGCAGGTAAGTTGGTGCACCTCCTGGCTGGCCACTTCCCTCCTCCATAGCACAGGCAGCCTCTGGGACTGGTCAGTGGGCCAGAACATGTGGGTTGCTACTTTTCTTTTTCTTTTTTGAGACAGAGTCTCACTATGTCACCCTCAGTAGAGTGGCGTTACAGCTCACAGCACCCTCAAAGTCTTGGGCTTAAGTGATTCTCTTGCCCCAGCCTCCCAAGTAGCTGGGACTACAGGTACCTGCCACAACGCCTGGCTATTTTTTTTGTTGGAGTTCCCATTGTTTAGCAGGCCCGGGCCAGGTTTGAACCTGCTAAGCCCCCACATATGTAGTCAGTGCCCTACCCACTGAGTATCAACAGTGAATACTGGTCCAGAGGAGCTCCAGAGAGACACATTTAGATCCATACCCAAAGACACAGGGCACCCACCAGGGATACCCATGCACACAAGCTGGTAAACTTACGAGTTCTCACATGGCCTCCATAGTAGAAGAAAGTTCTCACCAGGCGAGAACCTTCTTCCTGGGGTACCTGAATGTGACTGGAGAGGTCTTGTCATGTGTAAGGACAGCTGTGAGTCAGAGCTGTGGTTTCTAGGAATCTGTCATGTAGTAATCGTGGTGGTAAAGTCACAATGGAGGCTGCTTCTGCCCTAGAGTGTGTGCATCCCGTGCCTGCAGAGTCTGCAGGCCCCCCAGGTAACCAGGAACATCAAAGCCCTCAGAGGTGGATGGAGGCTTCCCCAGCTAGGAGAGACCAAAACCTCTTAGACTGGTATTGATTGTTTTTCTGACTTTGAAAGCTCTTCTTTTTTTCTGTGGTTTCTTCTCAGCAACTTCTCAATGAGGACAATTTACGGAAGCAGGAGGAGTCTGTGCAGAAGCAGGAGGCCATGCGGCGAGGTGAGCTGTCACCTGGGGGTTGCTGCTTTGGATCTTTCAGCCCCTAAGATGTGGCAAAGTGGTGTGCTCTCTGAGGACCGTGTGTGGGAGCCCTGCGCTCTGCACTGGGCCTCCCAGTCTTTGTAGTTGGAGGCCCCTCTCACATAGACCTTTGTCCTCAGGCTGGGCACCTCTAGGGTGTGCACAGGGAGGTCTGGGCTGGTTCACTGGGAGGAGGGAGTCCCATATTTTACTGCCCTGTGCTGGAGCTTTAGTGATGAAAGGCACAGTGTTGGCTGTGTTTATGCATGTATGTATGCATGTATATACCTATGTATGTCCCAGTGGAAATTAGGAGTGGTAGTGTCTCATCACACTTTTATTTTATTTTTTTTTTTTGAGGCAGAGCCTCGAAGGTAGAGTGCTGTGGCATCACAGCTCACAGCAACCTCCAACTCCTGGGCTCAAGCAAGTCTCCTGCCTCTGCCTCCCAAGTAGCTGGGACCACAATGCCTGCCACAATGCCCGACTGTTTTTTGGTTGCAGCATCATTGTTACTTGGCGGGCCCGGGTTGGATTCGAACCCACCACCTTAGGTGTATGTGGCTGGTGTCTTAGCCACTTGAGCCACAGGCATCGAGCCACACTTTTCTTTTTTGAGACAGAGTCTCACTATGTCACCCTTGGTAGAGTGCTGTGGCATCACAGTTCACAGCAACCTCTAATTCTTGGGCTTAAGTGATTTCTTGCCTCAGCCTCCCAAGTGGCTGGGACTATAGGTGCCTGCCACAATGCCCGGCTGTTTTTTAGGTGTAGTAGTCATTGTTGTTTGGCAGGCCTGGGCTAGGTTCTAACCTGCCAGCTCTGGTGTATATGGCTGGCGCCCTAGCCACTGGACTACAGACACCAAGCCTCTCATCACATTTGTTGGGGGCATTTGAAGCAGACATTCTGGCACCATGTTACACTGGGGGGGGACTCAGGTGTTTGTGTCTAATGTCCTGATAAATGGGCATGTGTGCATGTCCCTGCCTTCCTGATGTTTTGATAGTTATGTTTCTTTTTTTTTTTTTTT